CTACAGGACGTGTCTCTTCGGCTATTCTGTGAATATAAAGAAACCGGGATTTTATCCACACATCTCTTCATACCAGTACTCGCCGTCCGGTATATCTAACTATAAATCAGTGAAACAGGCGATGGACAACACGAAGACGTGTCGCTATGTTTTATCACGTGTTAACATACATATAAAGACAACTTTCGGCGGCGATAACTTCACTATAGAGGCCATTGGATTCATTCCCGCAAATCCTAACTTTATTAATAATAATGTAATTTTTGTCATCAAATCCAACATTTTTTCCAATGATAAGTATTACATGGTTTGGCTTTATTGGCACTTTAATACACGCATTACATACTTGACTGTCAATACACTCCGAGAGTCGCATTCAATTGAAATCAATTCATTGTTTTTTATGAATAACAAGCTATACGGTTATGGGAAGCAAAACGATGGCACTCTATACGAACTCTTTGGCCCGGATATAAAGTTTAATTTTACCGTAATATAGTGTTAAAAATAATTGCTTTTAAAATTAACATTTGTTTGATTGCATTGATTAAAGCGATCAAAGGATAAATTGAAAGACTTATTCTCGTGTCCAGAGAAGCAGTTATACACTCCGGTTAGTAATTATAAGGAAGGCATGTGTTATGAGAACATGGGATCCGTTGCCAATCACAGTGTCTTTAATATCGGTGTCAAACTATACCACCAAACGGGCCGTTATTTCTATTATTATGACACAAAAACTGAAGACTTTGTTTACGACAACGAAATAACACAATTGTTGGCCAAATTTTTTGGTAATAAATCTCCAAATAAAGTATTTGTGTACAAAATAATTGTTATTTTATGATTAGACACGAGAGAGCGTGTAATTGGATATACATTTGATTATGAGTTTGGGTTTAATGGTGTGAACGGAACCGATGGCATAGAAGTTGTATTTCACGGCAAAAGTAATGTTAAATACAGAGTGTTGAGTCAATACATATTTGCTATGTTCTCAATGGATGTGAAGTTAGGAGCGACCACTTTGTTGCCCATCACTGACACCATTAAATTTAAAAAGGAGAGCCATATTAATGTGACATTTGGTTCGGTGTCACCCGTACTCAATAGCAACGAACCGATTGCAGCCATGGGTGCCATTCGTCTCGACACGTATGGACTCATGTATTGGATCCAACGGAATGCGAGCAATGGATTCAATACATATTATTCTTCATCGAAGTGGAGGTTTATGTTTCCCTTTGAGTCCACATTTAATCCAAAACTATGGAAAGAGTTGACCCTTAAAATCGATGGCACTGTTGGAGGCATTTTCAGTGTGGAGTCCGACCAAAACCGAATTATGTATGTATTGATTGATGAAAGGACTTCTTTGGGTAAAATTGCGCGCAATGTTTACGCAATCACTTCCTATAACTCGAGAAATAACTATATCAAAGCCCAACCATTTGATCAAAAAACGGTTTGTTTATTGATTTGTGGCAATTTTTTCAACTCTTTTCATTATTGTTTGTATTTTCAGTTTAAAGAAAGTTATTTAAAATTATTTTGTAAAACCATTTCGTCGTCTAAAAGAAGCATATCGTCGGACACCATCTCACATACCCTTACAATTCTTATTATCATTTTAATGATTGCACTCATTATAGTGTCAATAATTGTCGCATTCCTGGCCTACAACTCCTCTCTAACCAACAAAAAGGGTGAAAAATGAATACTTGATTTTACACTGAATTAAGCAATTACAGTAATAAAATGAAACTTTATTTTGTTGATGTCTTAAATATAATAATTTTTACAAAACATTAAAACAATATGTTTTGTATAATTAAGAAACTTTTTTAAAAACATTCCTAACACTTAAACAAATGTGTAATTATTTCTACTGAATAATGACTGTTTGGTCGGCGGTGTCGTCGGCAGTGCCCGTCAGTCCCTCATTAGCCCTTCTAATGGCCAGCTTTGTTGTGATGGTCTTTAGTCTGGATTCGTGTCGACCTTAAGTTATGTTCAAATTTGTTAACAATTATTGTGTAATTTATTAATCAATTATATGTCAGAATATTTACGTTTTTTGATGCAATATATGATGAGACAAAGTACTGATATAATGGCAAAACAGACAATAATTACCAAAATAAGTCCATAAATGATTACTTCATCAGATCTGTCCCTTTCGTGGTTCACATCTGAAAGGACTGGTCTTATGTACAGAATTGCAGACAAACTAATTATATACAAAATATACATTTTATGCCATGAATTAATAAACGCTCAAAATTTTATAAATCAACCAAACTTTTAAATACCAATCAATAAATACTATTTGAATTTAACATTTAATTTTCAAAATCTGATTTATCACGCGATTTATTGTAAATTGTCTGACAATTATTTATAATTTGGGTAGACTTTAATTGTCGGTAAGAATGGTTGATTAAAATTCAGTTAATTTCAACAACCAATAGCGTATGAAAAAGAAATGATTTTCAAACAAAATATAAAAACAAATATAAAATATAATAAGTAAGTTTATTACACATGATTTTTATTAAATTAAAAAAATTAACAATTGAATAATGGGTTCGATGGCAACCATTGCGTGCACTAAAATGTATACAATTAAAGGCAAATATAAGAATAACATTAGTATTTGTCTTCATTTTGAATGATTTAAATTGAATGCTCACACAATCGGTCTTCTCTTCGTTACAACTCCAAGCCCTCAGACAATAGGAATCGCCTCTAAATAAGTATATATTATCGGGATTTATATAATAAGCTGCGGTCACACCCGTCGGCCACTTCTCATCGCACGCATCGTAAGCAACACTTTTCAATATTTGAAGACCCGTCCCATTAGTGCTCACATAATATATCTAAATATAAAACATTTGCAAAATATATACATTAATTTATGAATTCACTTAAAACTAATTAATAATTAACTAAATCATTGGCAAACATGACGATAATAGGATTGAGTAGATCTGAGTTTTGTAGGATTGCGTTAATTTTCAGAAATTTCTTGTCCTTTTGATGCCTTTTAAAATTGCTTTTCCATTGAATATATTCCTCATCTTTGAATGCAAATAAGTTTCCTCTGAGTTGAAAGCCTTCCGACACAATCATCGCTGTGTCGGGACTCGACTCAAAACCTTCCCATTTGTCTTCAGCGGAGCTCACATTCAAAACGATTGATTTGTAGGGAAAGCCGGTGAGCGTCCAGTACTTAGTGCCGCGAAATATCAATATATGCAATGGGTTTACGGCTTTTGTGATGGATATGGAGGAAATGTCTTGACACAAGTCGTCCGCCTCAGCGCTAGTACGCAACGAATTATAATTAGCGAGACTAAAGGGCGGATCGTTTTCCCCATAACAGCCCAGGAATATTCTCGTGTCGAGCCATATATCGCACTACAATATACAGTAAATGTTTGTTATTAACAAAAAAACATATTAACTCGTAAGTATACTGAATTATTGAATATATTAATAATTTTATATTATATTAATAACTCAATAATTAGCGATGACTTTTACACGTGTCTTACATTAATACTTTTGTCGTCCGATTCATAGTATAACTCTCGGACACAAAACGTGTCGTTACGAAACATATACACAAAACGGTTGGGCAGTGAGAAAGCAGTCGTTACGCCCGACGGGAAGTTTTCCTCACTCTTGTCTGTTGTCGTCTCTTTCACTTTAATGAATGAGTTTTTGACAATTTTGTAATAATAGACCTAAATTTGTTAAACCAATTAAAGACAATTACATAATATATTGAAATGATATACTTTATCGCCGTTAAGGCCAATGAGAAGCGGATCTTTGATGTCTCGATTGTGAAACACTGTTTCAAAGCCATTTTTGGGTAGACTTGGAGTCAGACTTTTCTTGAATTGATTGGTGTGTTTGACGCGAACATAACCGCTGGGACTCCAACCCGACATCATTTGGCTGTTATAAAATGCAAACACATAACCCCTTAATTGGCCCTCTTGTACGGTCGCCATTGATGTCAAGCCGTTTGAATCAAAGTTTGGCAACAGTTTGTCCGTTGAGCCGCTGGCCATTAACACACCCGAGCCGTATCTTAGATCTTAAATATGATACAAATTTTAACAATAATTAACTTAATTAAAAAACGAATGGTTTTAGTACTAACTTTCCATAACAAAAAATTTGTTTCCTTTAAATATCAAAATCTCTGAGCCGTCGAGACTAGAGTCGGCGTCCGTGAAGGTCGGGTCCTTACAAAAGGCCCGAAACTCGGGATTTGTATAATTCATTTTAGGCGTCTTTGCGGTCGACGGAGAAAATAATTATATTAGATATAAGTTATATCTATAACTTATTTTAACTCAAATTAACATTACTTTAATGTTGACAACACTGTCGGCTGGTTTAGGGAATGTGTTCTTCAATTTGAGATAGTATTTTCTGAGAACTTCCTGATCCTTTGCCGACATTTCCCAGTTTAGCCACCTTTTCATGTGATCGCCGATCGCTGTTAGCATCGCTTTTCTCTCCTTCCGCCTCTCTGTCAGCCAACCTATTATATCGCTGTCTCTCTAATTGCCGTACAATTCATTTTTATTTAATTTTATATTAAAGTTTTGTTTTACTTTTCTCCTTATATGTAATCCCTGTAAAGAGAATGAAAATTTTTAATCAATAAATTATTTAATTAAATTGTTGTCAATTAAGTTATTACATCTTTAGAATCCATTTCATCGGTAAATATTTCATTAAGATTTGTGTCAAACTTATTATCGTTTATATAACGACTACTAATATCTCGTTTATGATTTTTGTCGGAATTTACTAAACAATATGTATACAAATGAGATGAAAATATGAATACAATTATGTATTGAATTAAATGAAGAAACACACATTTATTCATAATTTTTGATGCCTTGATACAATTTATAGAAAACAAATTATAAACATATCAACGAAAGTCATGTAAATACAATATAATCGTTCAAATATGTCAATTGGGTTGCGAATTAAATTAATTAAAATTCTATGTATTAATTACGTTCATATTTGTTTATATACAGAAAATAAATTTTAATAAATATGGTTAAAATAAAAACAGATTAAATTTGTTTCAAGATTATTAGTAATTTAGGTTTGGTATATCAAACAGCGCCCGTTTGTATGAGTATTATAGCGTAGGTTATGATAAAACAAAACATCTATTAAGAAAATAATACAAATTATAATCAATTTTAAACAGACTATAATTTTAAAAATAAAGTATTAATTTACCGATAAGAGTGTTCCCCTTCTCAATGGCATAAGACCTCCAATTGTGAAACCATTGGGCAGTTCACGACTTAATGTCCGAAAACAAACAATTTCTTTGAACATATTGTCATTCGTATGGTTTATATCGTTTAAAGCGAAAAATAATTTGTCCGTTTCGTCAAACACTTTGCCGTTTGCCAGACAATACATTATTAGCTTAATAGTGGATCCAATGGAGTTTACCCAAAAATATCTCTTCAAACCCATTGCTCCCTTCATTTTGTTATAATTGGACAGAATGTAGATTTCAAACATTATGGTTATCATTAAATGAGATATTGTTACCAATTGCGGCTGAAAATAAATACATTTTATGTTAAAATAAATTTGCAGCAATAGTTATGAATTACCAATATTAGCATTTGATCAAAGTTGACAATAAGTTTATGAGATTTCACAAACGATTGGCGAATCTTTGCTAACATTTCAGGAGTTTTGACATCAATTATGTTTAATCTTAACATTTGATAGTAATGTGCAAAAGAAAGCGAGAGAAGTGTTATGACGAATGGTAGGACATCGAGGGCTGGTTTAGCAAACAATTTGTCCAGAAATAGTCCCATAAGTGAAAGTGTGGAGCGATTATTCTTCAGCAATAAATCGCTTATAATGAAACCGACATGAATTACAAGTATAAGAAACCAGACAATTGTAGTCCAAATCCAACACAATTGATCTAAAAATTACCATTTTAAATAAGATATACATTTCATGTCAAGTATATTACAAACCGATTCCATATTTATAGATAACTTCAAACATATTGATAGCATTGATGTGAAGATATACACCATTTACCACAATCTGAATGATTTCAAGAACCAGAAGAAAGCCAAAGATATAGTATATGAAGTGCAGACCACTGTCGTAAAGGCCAGTGATGCCGGTGTCCAACATTTGGTAGTATACAGTTATGGGACCAATGATTGTGTAGCAAATTAATGCAAAACAACCCAAATGTTTAAGGTAATAATTGGTAACAATTTTATCGTTGCGCTTAAAATTAAAGCCACCGAAAGTGATACCAATGAACCGATAATACCATATGATTATCAATGAAAATACATTTTTAATACCAGTTTGTTGTTTGAAGAAATGCATTGTTTAAAAGCCTAAAACGTTGTAATAAATAATCCACATTACACTTAATTTATATATAACGTTAAATATATTTCTTAATGGTTTAAAAGTACAAACTTTTTTGTTTCATATTCATAAGAAATACTGAATTATTCATTATAGAGTTTATTTAATGTGTATATAATATGCAAATAAATAAATGATTAAAAATTGATTAAAGAAAGTTTAGTGGACTTTTAATTGTCAAATAATTGAAATTAAGGCAATTAAACGATTCTTGACTATTATTATTACTATAACTAGACTTCTGTATAATTATGTTAAAAGATAATACATTGTTTTAATGATTATCAACTCGTATTAGCACTAAAATAGATCCGTAAAACTTATTTAACAATCAATAATTCTGTTTATGAAATCTGTTATACCATTAAAACGCTATTCATTTGCTGAGTACTGCCTTTTTGATACAATTTGAATGATTTTTCAATCAAATAATTTATTTGCATTTAAAGAATAAGAATTATTTCTTTATAACAAATATAGTGCCAAATATTGATATTTCTTGGAATCCGTTTTTATTCATATATATAAAAAATAAAAATTTCCAGAATTTTATTAAAAATAGATTTAATTTAAATATTGTTAATAATTTCCATTCATATACATTATATTTTAATATAAATACTTTATAAATAACAATATGTTTTATGAATATTAAATAACTTGTTGGGTATTATTAAGAAATAAACGATTGGTTATCTCATTTGAATAACGCTTTTAACTCATCATGGTAATCATTTGTTATGTTGTTTACTATATTGTAGTCAACACTATTTCAATAGTTCCATAAATCATATAAATGATTAGCATTTTTGCCATTAAATTCAATGTAAATCATGCATTTACATCAAAATGCATTTATTTAATGTATTTAATCGATAAATACAATAAAAAACTTATTCGCAAATCTTTTATTATTATAACTCTAATGTAAATGTATGTTATTTTATGTTAAATTTAATAATAAATCATAATTACATATAATTGTATTAATTTATTATTTATAGTATTTAATAATAATTATTACAACAATTTATTCGTAAATTAAATACATTTTAAACAAAAGAAAACATCAAATTATCATATATTAAATGAAAAGTTTAAACATTAAAGAGACAATTAGTTCCAAAAAAGTGATAATTATTTACAAAACAATCAATGGTTAGAAAAATGGGATCAAAAACAAAGAAATTAAGTTTAAATACAAAAGAAATAAACATTAAATTGAATGAATGGATCAAATGAGTGACGGATTGAGTGATCTATGGTTTGGGCGAAAGATATCTCTGAATGTTTTGCGCGATTGAGTGGATGTGGTCTTCAATGGCGGCGATGTCTTCAACGGTTGCCTCCAATCGTTTGAGTCGTGGCTTCACTTCACTCTCTTCGGCATAATTTCGGTCAAGAGTTGTGACAAACGTTTTGACCAATGAATCGACGATTCGGTGAACGCGTGTCTCAACACTTCGTATCCACTGTTGATCTTTGGATCTCTTGTCCGACAGATGTGTCACAAATTGTTCCCCATTTTTGCCTAACGTTTCGCTCAACGGTTCTGACCTTTCGGTCAACGCTTTGTTTAGCATTTGATTCGACATTAGATTCGAGTTTAGGTTTGCTTTCAATGAATGTATTCTTAGATCGAATTGTGATTCACTTCAAGTGATAAGTCGTTTGGCGTTTCAGTTGTGACGCAACGAGAGTTCAAACCAAACGTTTCATTCAATGCTTTTGTTTTGCATTTCATATGAAATTAATAATTGAATGATTAAAACGCGTGAATAAATGTGATTCCAATTAATATTATTTATTTTAAGTTTATTACAAATTGTTTTATTAATTCAAACTTATATTTAACATAAATATTACAATAAAATTATTCATAGATTCTATTGTTTTAAATTAAAATATAGTTTTAATTTATAAAACATATTTAGTTACAAAGGAGGATGTCGAGATCTGCCTAAGCTGGCACCCGGGATTTCACAATATAAAATGAAAGTACACTGCATAAGGAGTCCATTGATATAATCTATATGGCCGACCGACCTCTTGTTCGGCGGTAG